CCATATTCTTTTGGTAAGAAAACTCAAACTCTCAAAATTCAAGTGATCAAAATACATGTGCCACAACCAAATATCATCAGAAACAACAGAATTAAAGTGAGGTAAATCATGACAATTAAGAGTGATGGGCCTTAAGCGGCTAATGTTCATATATATCTTTGCTATTAGTCCTAAATGATCATCAGTAATAGTACCAATGCCGTATTTGAATCGCAAATCATATCATTTCTCAATAAGTTGCCAAAGACTCAGTAAATTATGATAAAGATTTGGCACATAGAAGACATTAGAAATAAAATTAGATTTTTCATTCTTCAAAATAATCCTGATTTTTCCTTTCCCAAGCACAGACACTCTTTCATTGTTGCCAAACTTAAAAGATCTAAAAGATTCATCCAAATCAGCAAATATAATTTTGTCACCACTCATATGGTTACTGTAGCTAGAATCCAAAAATCAAATTTTTTTAAATTTTTTTCACTCCTAAGTTAGAGAATAAAATAGTTTCATCCTTTTTACCAATATTTTCTGCTATATTAGCATGCTCAACTTTATTGTCAAAATTATACCAGCACTCACTTTTATAATGACCAATTTTTTTTTTGTAATTATGGTATTGATAATTATGTCTGTGAGAATTATCATTTTCGAATTCACTATTGAGATAATTATTGTTACTTCTTTGTTTTGTAAAACTTACCTTTGCTACGACCTCTAAATTGCCTCTACCACAATCTCGTCCTCTTCCTTTGAAATTTTGGTTTTTTTGACTGGAGCCATCACCTTTCTCTTTGAGTTTATCTATCTGCACCTGCAATGCTTTCTCCACTTTTTCTTTTTCTGCACCATCTTCCAATTTTTCATTAATTCTCTATTCATGAAGAGTTAACGAACTTGTAATTCTTCAATGGTCATAGTTGAGAGATATTTTGTTTCTTAAATCACAGCAACCACATGATCAAATTTCATGGGTAAAGTATTGAGGGCTTTTTCTACTAGCACCTCATTGCTGAGATCATGACCATTGTGCTTCATCTCATTTTTTATGTTAATTAGTCTGGAAAAATATGATTCAATGGTTTTTGATTTTTTCATGGTGATCAACTCAAATTTCCTTTTCAACATCAGCACATTATTTTTCTGAACTCTATCAACTCATTTGTATGTTTTCGCCAAAATATCCCATGCCTGTTTTACAGTTTTTAGCAATGTTTCCAAAAATCGAAGCATCAATTGTCTGGTGGATTTGAGATAGCACCATATTTTCTTGCCTTTTGACACTTTCTTCTTCATCTGCAACAATTTCTTGCTGAACAAATCGAAGCAAATTATACTCGTCAAGATGAGTTTCCATCTGCGTTCTTCAAAAACTATAATCTTTTCTCTCTGTGAGTTTAAGTACTATACATGTAATATTACTTGACACAGTTGATGCAGACATGTCTTACAATAAACCTTGCTCTGATACCACTATGTAAGTCCACAAAAATAATCAATATAAACCACAAGACTTTCACGATTGAATGAAATCATAAGAAAACAAAATAAATCCCGTGTCCAAAAGACGAAATAGAGGAAAGAGAATTGGAGGCTTTTATTATCTCTCTGAATCTTTTCTTTCTTTCTTACACTGATAGACCAAGACCATCTTTATATAGACTACCAAATATCAAAATCCAATTGGGATTTAAACTACCAAATCATACTAAGAAAAGAAAATCACAACTAAACAATAAATTAAATCCTAAAAAAGCTTGGTTTAATAATCCTACAATTTTAATAATCCTACAATTTTGCCTAATCTTAAACTGGTATTTGTGGGTCAAGTATGTTGTTGTGACATGCTTGTTGTTGTACTCTCTCCCATATACATGTTCACCTTTAAAAGTTTTGATCTAGAAAGTATTAGCCTTCTGAATTGGTGATGCATGGGTCCTTCAAGTGCAACCCTTTGCATACTCAGCTGTGATTCTATGTGAATTATTTCTTAGATCGCTTACTTCATAACCTTCTCTAATGTTCCACTCAATTAGAGCCATTCTAAATAAGATGAAGTTCTTGAACTTGTGGCCCACTTTCAACTCAATTTTAGGCTTCTTAAACTGAAATTCTGAATTAAGGGTTTGTTTGTTTCAATGTAGAATATTTTCCCTAAGAAAACATTTTCAATGAAAATTCTTTCCTGGAAAATATATAATTTTCCCTTCATTTTCTGGTGTTTGGTGCAATTTTAAGAAAATGTTCTAAAAAATTTAAAATCCTCCAACGATAATATCGTTCCCGGATTTCTCTTTTGCTAATTGCTACTACTAATTATCATTATCTCTACCCACCTCATCAGCCACCACAAACAATCCCCAATCCAAATCCTTTCAAGTCTCAAAAAATAAATCAAAGACCAGAACCAGGAATTCACAATCTCCCTAAGCCAGTTGAGTGCCATTGTAATAAAAAGGTTAAATTATATGCCTACAGCTGATTGAACCATTATAAGAAATTAGCAATTGAAATTTGATGTTTATTGTATTAACTCTTCTTCTAAAAATGTTCCTCCTGCCTCCATTGGCTTCACTTTTTTTCCTTTCTCCAAAACTTCTCAATGCAAGCCCAATCTAGATCTAGAGTTGTATAATCCATAAATGTGTTTGTGTGGCGCAAGAGAACGGGAACAGTAGAGAGGAACATGAGAAAGAGGAGAGCTCGATGAGGTGCAATGTTGTGGGATTTGCAGAAGCAAGTGCAGGAACATAGCTCTTGATTTGATCTCTGTGGTATAGTGCTTGATGGCTTTGTACAATAGCCAAGTGCCGAGGAAACTGATAAGTCCCGATAGTTGTCGGAAATTAACTTCCGTATCTTAATTCCGGAAGTCATTTTACACCAAGTTATGTAAAAGATTTTCTACCAGAAAAAATTTTCCTGACCTCTTTTGCAGCCAAACACCAGAAATTGAAGAAAATATTTTCTGGAAAAGATTTTCAGTCCAAACAAACAGACCCTAAAATCCAAATATTCTACCTGACCCTCACCATCACATCTAGTAGTGTCTACCAATTCTTAGTCAAGAATAGCTGGTTCATTCTAGTACATTTTTGTCCATGGTTGCTGTTTAGGTCTTCAAACTGTTGGCCCCCAATGGATCACCGGCATGGATAGATAATTGTTCACTAACTTTGAGTTTGAGCTTTGATTTACTCAACCTTTTCCTTTTGTCTACGCCTTTGCCTTTATCTTTTTCTACATCCTTGTCTTTCATCTTTTTCCCTTTGTTTGCACTCTTGCCTTTTTCTTTCACAATTTCTCTGATGCTCCTAATATCCCTTCACTGTTGAGATGTGAACATGCTGAATAAAATTCTGCTGTTGTTTCCTTTGGCTGAATGGTGGGTTTCTCAACTTCAACCCTTTTCTTTGGACTCTTCACATCACCCTTGTTAGCAAATACATGTAGCTTCGAAGTTAAAGCATATGAGATTTACCAGTAGTTTTAGATTTGGCAGCAAAAATAGCTTCATCATCTATGATCTCTAATCCTTTTTCTAACTAGTTAGGAATAGCTGTCTTCTTGCTTTGGTCTACATTAGCTCCAACTGTCTATTCTGCATCATGCTTGTTCCCTTTCTCATTGGCTCTATCTGTTTAGTTAGCATGTGCACCCTCCTTTTCATTAAAATTGACCCCACCAGCAGCATGGCGGAGGGGTGGTAATCAACTTCTAGAGTAGTCGACCACCAAAAGAATCTTAAGACTCTACTTGGGTATAGGTCAAGGGATCGAATCCCTTGGTCTACATTCTAATATCCAAGATTTTTTAGAATGTTCCGCCAGCGGGTGGTACAAAAAAAAAAGCAGCATGGGAGGTGGCTTTTCAAATGCTTGTTCCCCACTTACATTGTATATCCCTTATAGGAAGGTAAAGACGTGAAGAATTTGTGAGATTAATATCATCATCCCTGTAATTGGATAGTAGTCCATTGTCCATGTCTAGATTAGGGACACACCACCAAAATGTAATCTTGGTTGTATCAAGGTCCACTTGCTTAAATTTCCCACACAACTAAATTATAGACATTTCATTTGAATCCATATCTTTCCATATGCCTATTTTATAGTTCACTATGTTCACCTAAGTAAGTACTCTAAAAAATACTTTAAAAAGTAGTTTAAATTTTTTTAATATTTAAAAAATATTTCAAAATATATTTTAAAAACTCTACTACTCTTAAATATGCCAAAATATTTTCTAAAAATATACCAAAATATACTCTAAAAACTTTGCTACAATAAAATTTTTCAAAAACACCTCAAAAAACAGCTAATCCAAACGGAGAAGATATTTTTCAAATCTAATGATGATAGGGATAAAAAAACAAAGCAAAATTAGCGCATCGAACTACAATCAAGTTTCAATCTTTACAGTAGCAAATATTATATGAATCCTTTTTTGACCAAAAGACCGAATATGAAAACCCAACAAAAGGCCAATACGAACGCTACACCCACATGCAACAACAATATATCTACGAGGTTATCCAAATTATTACAACCAATTTCAACTTATTAAGAACTCCCTTAAACCAAAATCATGCATAACAAACAGCAAGAGAGAATATGAAAGTTACCCATTATCCTTCGAGTCCCTTTATAAATCTTCAATTGCTTATATTTCATGTTATTCGCTTTCTATTGAAGTCCTATATTGGTTGGAATTTGTTTAGATTTGAAGTTTTCTAATCCTAGGGTTTCTCTTTGTCTCTTTCTATCTCTCTCTCGATTGTTCCATTGGTAGACCAAAGGGGTAATTGTGACATTCTGCATGCTACTATTAGTTTAGATGGTTTCTGTATAATTTACACCTTAATTAAAATTGTAGGGAGCTAAAATATAGGTTTCTGAACGACGAAGAGTTAAATTGAATATTCTCCAAACCACAGGGACCTTCTTGATATTTTACTCTTTATTTTACTTTTCCTAATAAATTTCTTTCTCAAAGATACATTCGAAAGACGTGGAAGGCTACTGTACGATTCTCTCTAATCTGCAAAAGCAAGGCCAACGCCCCTCCACTCACCCGCGCATCCACTCTCTCCTCCTCCTCCTGCTTCACCCGCCTGATGTGAAAAAACGATTCAAGAATCTATCTTTCCACTTGTTGGATTCAAAATGGCGTCTTCTTCTTCACCCGCCTGATGTGAAAAACGATTCAAGAATCTATCTTTCCACTTGTTGGATTCAAAATGGCGTTTCTATCATTACAATTCGTCAATGGCACAATTGCTTTGTCAACAACAACCTCATCAACAACAATTCTGCCCTCTTTTTCCCCTATTCTGTCCAAAGTTGCTGCTGCTACCCCTTCTTTTTCTGCAGCTTCTGCAGTTCAATGTTGCTCTCGAGTCTGCCACCAAGTACCCTCCGCTGGCCGTCCTCCTGCTCCTGGATTGCAGTCTCCTCATGATGTCAAGATAAACATTAACAACAACGAAAAAGGTCCTCCCAGTGCGAGAGAACCTGCTGATGGAGATTCAGAGAAGGCAGCAGTAGAAGGGAGTGAGAATGGTAGTGATGGGGTATCGGGAATTGAAGTTCCTAGGCCGAGATACATCTCCATTTCTAAGGCAAGGCTCCTCAACGCCATCGTTTCCGAGTTGTTCGACTCACAACTCGAGGCCGACCAGTTTCTTCATCTTTCCAAGTAGGCATTGTTATTGTTTCTTTGAATTTTCATAGCTTGGTTTTGACTAACGCATTTCACCGACTGCCCCCTTCTTTATATGTTCGCTGTGTGACTTTTGAACATTGGTTATGGGGAAGACATGAAATATTGATAGTAGTCTTCTTACCTTGGAAATTGATGTTAAATTTAGTGTTTGTATAAATGATGTTTGACTGCCTCAGTCAACCTATTCTCTTTTAGTTGGTATAATAGACAGAACATATCCAAGTACATCAAAACTTGTAGGAACCGATTATTAATTACTCCTGCACCTTAAAGGCCTGATAAAATAATTGGACATGGAAATGAGAGCGAGCCTGATAGTCAAAGATACATGGATAAGAGTGAGCTCTCAAGTCCTAGTTCAAATAATGGAGGTAGTGGCTTTCTTTTGGCCATAGTCCTAGGAAACGGAGACTTGTGCTATCGAGTCTCATTCTGTCTTGCTTGAGGGAGGCCCTCATATCAGCAATGAAGTTAGATTAACATTTATAAGCCAATGAAGAGGTCCCTCTGACCATAAAAGAGTAGATTGCCGACAATCTCCTTGTGGAGTTGTGGTTTAAATGTCTCCACCTGTAACCAACACTTCATTTAAACTCTACCTTTTGCTGCCTTGTGTCTTGGATTCCCGATTCACCAACCCAATGTAAAACTTATCAAATATTTTTGCATAGCACGGGTTTTTCATGTGTGAAAATTGTGCAACACAGGTCGCCTTCTCTTCCTTGTGCATTCTTCTATTAGCTTGAGGTATATGTAATGTGAGTGCTCTATTGCAGCCTTTTCTCTTGTGACTAGGCTATGTGTAAGTTTGAAACTTATGGAAGTTGCTATTGCAATCTAGAAGCGTATTATTTATTTGAGATATGATGCTCTGCAAGGCTGTGCCCTATTCTTTTGTGGAAAGGGTTACATTTGGTCATGGTTTTTTAAGCAATTTATCCTTTTGCAACGACAAGGAACTCATGTAATTATTAGTTGAAGGATGTTTTCAGATCATTGTGCAAATGAGACCTTTTTATTCATGTATTTTTACAGATGCTTGGATTCTATACTTCTTGCTGAGCACAAATGCATCTTAGAGGAAATGCGGCTTGACTATGATCTGACGAATTCTGTGGAGAGTGAGGGGAATGTTTACCAAGGTTTATCTAATCTGGAAAGAAAATCTGAATCAAATGGAAAGAATTCTTATGCTGCCGGTAGCATGGAAGAATATGGGGTGAATGGGTTTGACAATAAAAAATCTGATCTTTCTTCTGAGTTGGCTTCTCTATTGGCTTCTTTTTCTGACAATATGAAGACAAATCCCATGAAAAGGTCTAACCTTCTATAATTGTTGATTTTGTATGTGTATTATGTTGTGTTATGTTCTGAAAATAAGTTTCAAGTAATATGTTTTGACTATGGGATTATGTACATGACAAGTAAATTAAATCAATCTTCAAACATGAACATGTTAATCCGAAAATAACTTGAAGCAATTCTTTAGATACAGATACAGTCAATTTATGAGTGATAGCTTATGGTTGCTTATTTGATAGTTCTAATGATGGCCATATGCTTTATTTGTTTTGGGATATTACTCGTTGATTGCTTTAGCATCTGATGATTTGCACTCATTTGAACTATAATAGACTCTAGCTGTAGTTTTTGGTACTAAATCTACAGTTTGAACATCAATCTCTTAGTATCTCTCTCTTTTTGTTCTTCTACCTCTTATTACGTTTGTGGGAAATATTGTAATTCTGGTCTTTATAGGGTTTTCCTCTGGAAATTAGTATACTGGAGGTCATTGAAGGCACTCATTCTCTGACTATATTGATTATCTCTTCTCTCTCTTCACCTATTTTCCAACATCGTTGAAAACTCAAACCTTCATTTTTTTTTTTGCGAATTAGGCAAGCTTTATTGATGATAAGTGGCAAACCATTAAGTCAACACACTTTTCTGTCCAATTCTTGTCAAATGATCAACTACAGAACACAGTAGGGTGTACGCATGCATATAAGGTCCAGGACTAGAAAATTGTCCCGTCAAATAGATAAATTTTGAAATCCCTCCTAATTCTATATGGATTTCTCCTCTATCTTTGTCAGCTTGCATTACCAAAGACATAAATGTTTGTAAGTCTCGTATGCATATAAGGACCAGGACTGGAAAATGTCCTGTCAAACAGATAAAAATTGAAATCCTCCTTATTCTATTTAGATTTCTTCTCTATCTTCATCAGCTTGCATTACCAAAGACACAAATGTTTGTAAAGAATTCTCCATGATATACTTGATCCCTGCAAAATAATGTGTAAAATGTGTACGAGCCTTGTTTGCCAGATGTCCAACCATCCTACATCTTTGTCTTTTGACCAACTGGAAAAGAATGATTCATTTAATAGAAGGGCGTGCTTTTAGTTCCCCTGGGTTGTGTGGCTGGGGTTTTGTTATTTGCCAACTGTGTATGGCCTTCCCGGTTAAGGTAGTACTATTGGGACATAAGCACCATTTTGCTATTGTCATGCCAGATCATCTAGCCTTCTCTAACCACCATAGCTCCTGTGCATGGATCAGTACTTTAGCAAAATTTTGACTGGAGCTGATATTTAGATCCTATGTCTTGAATGCAGGACTAGATTAATTTTGCCGAAAAACGATAAGAGTGTTAGACAATAGTCAGATGAAAAGCACAAAAACAAAAATAGATTATTGAGTACCATTTAATATTCTTTTTCCTGTTATACTTGAGTAGGGTGGTTTGGATTCTTTGTTCTTTTCTTTATCTTTGTCAAGCTTCTTTGTTTGAAATTGCCATTTATGGTTAGAAAGCCAGAGCACTAGTGACAGAGCCAAAAGCTACCCATGAATTATTTTTAATGAAATAAACACAAGGAAAGTATAGTGACAGGCGGGAGAGAGTGATTGTCCAAAATGAAAACTAGGCTTATTAACTGTTGAACTCAATCACAACTTTCTATGTTGCAGTTTGTCTTTGAAACATTTGATCTGTTTGTAGTTTTTGCTACTGTAGTGTGCACATTTATGAATTGTACATTTTTTATCATCCTTATTATTCTTATTCACTCACCTGGATGGGTAGAATGATTGACCAAGAAGGCTGATGGCCTAGGTTGCTGACCTCCGTTGCACTTGGGAGGATGTCCACCCGAGGTCCACCCAAGTGCTAGAGCTTATGTCATAATTCTGCTGATCCTGATCTATTATCTAAATCTGTTTGACTAGTTATTCAGAGTTTTTTGTAGAGTTGCTGTGCATGCCCGTTTTCAGCGTTCGTTTGTGCAGCTGCTTTCTAGTGCTGAGTTTGAAGAATTGTCAGTTCGGGATTTGCTATTGACATCCTCTTTAAATACCGATTACCTTCTCACTTTGCCAATATATGTTGACTGGAGAAGGGCTTCTGAATCAAATGCAATCATTTACAGGTACCATTATTCTTATCCTGCATCATGCATCCCAAGAACCTTAGACATGTCCATATCAAGTGCATTTTATCTGTTGTCTTTAACATTCGATACATGACAACTTATTCCTTGTATCTTGTTTCTTAAATTAACCCCGAGTATTGGAGTTTTGATTCTCTAATTTTTTATTTTACTCTCCTTGAAGGTGCTTCAGTTGTGGCTGACCATTTTTGTATGCTCTTGGTGGCCTTTGCATGTTTTTGTTCTAGTGTGAATCTAGAACTATGGAATATGTAGGTTTTTGTACTTGGGGAGAAATTATGCACCATAACCTTATATATTGGTTAGTATGAATCTTCTAAGTGGTTTTTCTAGGCTTGCCAACTGTTTACAGTTTAGTGCACTCAAAATCTCCTTTTGTTCAATGGCCTCATTTATTCAAAATTATTCTATTTTTAGTGTTATACAGGGGATGATACACTAGAAGTTTCTAACTTGGAGGTTCTCTTTTCTTCTTCTTGTCATTTTGTATAGGAGTCTTCACAAGTAATCACCTCTTGTAATACAGGCGAGGTCATGCGACTGAGAGGCAGAAAGGATTGTTAACAGTTGAAAAACTGGATTACTTGCAGTCGATGCTGTTACAAAGAATTTTCTTTCTCATATCAAGACCACTGGGGAAGTTTGGTGTATGGTTAGCTGAGGTACTTGGCATCAGTTTTCTGTCTTATCTGTTATGTCTTCCATTTAGCCAATCTTGTGAAATACTTCTTCATTATGTGTTCCATGTCCTTGAATCTATTTCTGAGGTCTTGTCTGTTTAATCATCAAAATAAATTCGTAGTAAGTTTTGATTTAAAATTGGGGAAAATGGCAGTAAACCCCTTTAAGGTTTGGTGCCAATACCACTTTGCCCCCTAACATTAATTTTTAACAACTTTGCCCCCTTCCATTAGTCAAAAGTTATACTTGACGATTTTCAATTATTAAACTTCTGAAAATGCCTTTATTTCTACATGTCGGAGCTTTTGGACAAAATTACCCTTTTCCTAACAGATATCTTCATTTCTTATAAACTTACACGGGCATCCTATATGCCTTTTACTGCCCTTGTATGAAAAACCCAGCTCCTCTGTGTGGGTCAATTTTGTTGCTTTGGCAAATTAGTGGCTGAATTCAGAAAAAAATTACTCAAATTACTTGGTACCATTTATTTAGTGTCATGTATTGAAATTACTTTTCATATGTATTCATATATTGTCTTCATTTTATGCAAAGTAATTTAATGAAAGAACCAATCAATTTTATGCAAAAACAATTTCAATACATGACATTAAATAATTGGTACCAAATAGTTTGAGTAATTTTTTTTGGGAATTTAGCTACTAGGTTTCCAAAGAAGAAAAATTGACAAAGCAACCTACAAATAGGATCTGGGTTTTTCATACAAGAAGGATGATAAGAGGCAAATAGGATTTGCGTGTAAGTTTATACGATGAGGAAGATATCTGTTTAGGAAAAGCGCAGTTTTATCGAACAGTTCCAATATGTAGAAATAAGGGCATTTTTGGAAGTTTAATAATTTGAAAGAGTCAAATATAACTTTAGACTAACACAGAAGGGGGCAATGTGGTCAAAAATGAATGGTAGGGGGCAAAGTGGTGTTGAGACCAAACATTAAGGGGATTTACTGCCAATTACCCTTGAAATTATCATGTTATTCTTTCTTTAGACTTTATTTGATCATTCCTAGAAAGCTAGTACAGTAGATTCATAGACAAAACTGTCATAGCGTTTCGATATCTTTATGGCACTAGACTTGTCAATGTAAGTGTTGCTTCATCACAACCTGTCCCCAGCACATTGAGTAGTCTGATTGATTGTCAATGTATTTCAAAATCATTGACTGTTCAGTGCTGCTTCAGATTTTTAACTGCAGGTTAAGTGATTGATACTGTTCACAGTGGTTTAAAGTGATTAGCATTTACATCACTGGCCAAGCAATGCAGGGCCAATTAACTGACTGCATTATGATTCTTTTTTCCTTTACTAATTGCTTAAACTGTTAAACATGCCCTTGAATTGGCCTTTTTTTGATTGTGGGCGGTGGAATTTAGTGACTTCAGGCATCTGAGCAAGTCTGTCTGAAGTACAAGATTCAACTGTTGTTGCAATCAATTTTGCAAGTAAATGCACTTAAAAACTGAAAGGAACCTCTTCAGTAGAAGGAACTGATACCCAAGTGAATTTTTATCCATACCAGAAGTTAACTACAGTTTATTCTACAGCAGGTTCTCAAAAGGAACAAACAGATACGCGATACAATATTGTGGACAGAAAATCTAAATGACTGGCTGAAGAAATTGCCATTCTTTCAACAATCATATTTGGATGATATATTCTCATCCGAAGATGAGTTGGAAGTTGACCTTCTAACATCCAGTGACCTTCCTATCTGGTTAGCAGCTCAAAGGGCAGTAACTCGTTATGAGGGAATCTTATCAACTACTGGGCCCCGTGGCAGGCTCTTGAGAAAGTTACTTACATGGATTGGACTTGCACCATCGGCCCCAGAACAAGCGCTGGATCTCAAGTCAAGGACCATTGCTTGTGACTCCAAACCTTACTCAGGGTAGGTAAAAATTGTGAATTGGCTCTCTTGTCCTTATCTGTCATTGTAAAATGCGGAGATTGCACCATCAACCCAAAAGATGCACTTATATTTTGTTGGCAAAGTGAATATGATCTGTGAAGTGAATATATGTGTGAATCACCTGGCTCTCCCCACTTCTCTGTGTATTTGTGTCACAGAGCAGGAGTGAGAGAGCTTGTGCATGTACAATCGCTTTTGCTTACTATTTGTGTTGTACATTTCTCTTTGGCCAAATCATAGTCGAGAGAGAGAGAGAGAGAGATAGAGCTTCTGAATGTATAATGGCTACTTGTTACGATTTGTGGTGTCTTACATTTCTCTTTGACCAAATCATAGTCTTTCTTACATGTAAAGTGGTAATTTGTATACACTAGTAATTTACTCAGAGAGAAGAGCATATGTTTTGTGAGGCACTATAGGCTTGCTTGCACTCACATGGCATGATTGCACAGCATGTATAGTAATGCAGAATTCTTGACTGTTTAGCTTTTCTCTTTTTTATTTGAGAGGAGAGGATAAAATTCTGCAATTTTGCTAACATTAAGATTTTATATGAGCAAGGTGCTTTTTACTTTCTTCTTCTTTATCTTCTTCTTTTGTATTTTTTTTAAGCGAGTGCTACTTCTAAGTTACTTCAACCCAATGTATGACAAGGAAACGTAATGTTTTCTGTGACAAGGAAATGTAATGTTTTCTGTTTGCCATGCTACCAGTGCATGGACTAACAACATCTTACCATTTGGCAAAATTTATTATTTAAATATGAAGCTTAACCCTGGTTATGCTCACAATTTTTGAAGACTGCTTCTTGGTGAAGCTTGGTTGCTATGTTTTTTAGCCCTGGTCAGAAATGTAGTTTTGACTTTTCCTATGCTAGTACCCCACAAGTGCATGGACTAATAATGTATTGCCAGTTGTTAAAATTATTAGTGAAATTTGAAGCTTTACCCAGGGTAAGCTCAGAACCTTTGAGGACTGTTTGTTCAGTGAAGTTTGATTGTTTTGCACATACCTTCCTAGTTCTACTTAAAAGACCACCTTGGAACAATATTCAATGCTTTATTATGACCTTGGAGATCATACGTACTGTTCACAACTCGGCCTTTCACATGTGCTGTGCAGTGTTAAAGGTCTTGTAAACTATTGTGGTTTGTGGCAGAGTTTGTTATACACTGTTAAACTACTATTGCCATTGTGAAAGGATAGTCAAACTTGCGGACCTATGGTACTTAATCTCCCAAGCAGAATTACATGCCACATCTGTAAAAACATGAAAATCCTTTGCATATATATGTTTAGGCATGCATCTTGTCGTGTATCTTTGTCTTATTAGTGTAGTTTTGAAAACTCTGATCCGGCATGGTGGAAAGGGAGTTAGCAAGAACTTGTGTCTGTATGATGATATTGCTTTCCATCAACCAGCTTTGTTTTTACAATTGGTAATCTGACTTTCTGAACATTGAAATGATTAAATTATGAAAAATAATCTGTATATGTAGGCCTATATTCTTGTCAAGGATAACACTTGGTGATATATGGAGACCTGCTTCACTAAAACATTGTGGAAATGATTTCTGGAAGATGCTGAAAACTGCCATTTCCATTCTTATCTCTCAATCAACTCTCCAGGTATAGGCGCATATACATGTTTATGTTTTTTTCTTCCTTTGCTAGGATAAATCTGATTTTCCACAAAATCTGGCAGAATTTAAGTTCAAAATTGAATGTCATAAAAGAACCTCAAGTTTCGGCTTCCAGTGCTTGAACTGCTCTCGTGATTACTGATTCCAAGATGATCTGACCCAAAAAATTTAAAATCTTACTAAAGTAATTTTGGATTTTTAGCTAGTTCTAGTTGAAACCAAGTGGGGTATGATTATTGTTATGTGCTTTATAGTATCGGCAACTCATGTTTGTGCATGACCTAAGTCACAGATTAAACAAAAGATATAAAATGAAGCAGTATTGTTGTTAATAAGATGAAAAGTTCATAAAAATTCATCAATGGTGGCTGAAGCTGAATTTTTTATTTGGTTTTACTCCAGAATCATTAGTTTTCAGATAGATGTAAGTTTGGTCACCTGAAGTTGATTAGTTGGTTTACTATGATTTTTCTATGTGCCAGACATCACCATGATAACAAAATTATGTCCTACAAGGATAAAATGGAATCTCTGTTTGACAAAAGACCATGACTTCGTTTCCAATGCCTGAAAACACTATCCGATGGATTAATGAACTTTTTACTGAAGCTTTGAAACCAAATTACTAATGGAAGTAGAAAATTAGATGGAGCCTGATCCATTTAAAAAGGTTTTGATCGCCCTCTACAAAAGTTCAACTTTATTGATGTGGCACAAGGGTGTGTTTGTTTCAACTGAAAATGTTTTCCAGAAAACATTTTCAGGAATTTCCGGTGTTTGGTTACTATAAAGTCCCTGAAATTATTTTACTGCTTACTGCTGAAAATTTTTCACGTCAAATGGGTGTAAATTAAGTTCCTGATCACAACTTCTTGAGTTATTTTTCATTTACATCTACAAGTAATCTCATCGTTCCCCACTTTCGAAAGGGAACTCGATTTGAAGAAATAAACACCTTATAGTCAGGCTACCAGGGCCTGGACTCCTCATCTTCTTCCCTGTTCCTCCTTCCCATGCCCCCAAATAAATCAAACGCCAGCATTATCACAAGCAAATCCACACACTGTATGCCCCTTGGCACATACCCATTAGACACACAAAATATAGGTATATCTGAGTTTCCCAGAAATCTAATATGGGGAGCAAAGCGACAGCCATGGGAGATGGATGCAAAAAGGAAAGAAAAGAGATGGCTGGAGGGAGGATGGATTGCAGAGGATATTTTGTTGCAAAAAGATTGCTCTGGCCTTATTTTTTTAAATATCTTTATATAATTCTCATATGGGTTTTCTTCAGAAGATCAATTTGTTCTTTTCATAGACACTACTGTGTGGTTTGGTTTAGAATTTCTTTTCATAGATAGTACAGTGGTGGCAGAGGCAGCAGTTGGGATGGGGGAGGGCGAGTAGCAGGGTGGGGGCACTGGTTGGGAGAGTTGTGGTGGAAGATTGGTGATTCTGCCAAAAAAAACAGTCAGCGATTGGGGGATATTTTGAAAACACTTTCCTAGAACTAATAACCAAACACCTGAATTCTTCTGGAAAATGATTATATTTTCCATGACATTTATTTTCAGGGGAAATATTTTCTTTAGGGAATTTTTTACAGTTTACGAAATGGACTCTTAGTTTGTCTGCTGTACTTATATATGATAACTCCTTGCGATCATGTTGGAATTAACAGTTAAGGTTAATGATTATCAATACAGTTAGTAGCAACTTCTATTAATAGAAGCAATGTCTTTAAAATTCAACTAACTCAGTCATGTGTGGAGGCTCCAAGTAGTTGTTTGATAGCTTGGACACAGTTCTGATGATTAGTAAATGGACACTGATGCTGAGATATGGACAAAATCTCCTTATGGTTGTATCTGGCAAAATATGTTATTCTATATAAGCTAAGAAAGAATGACAGTGTTCAACCAAATCAAGCATGAGAACAACTGGTGAGGTTCCCGATGCCTTTGATTCACTTGATGTGTCATATAATTTGAGACATGATGTTAACATCCAGTCCCTGTTGAAGCTGGCCAAAGGCCCTTTCTATTGGTATTGGGTTGGTTTCCTTTTTAGTTGAAGTTTTCTGTTTACTAACTGCTTGGAGGCAACTTAATTTCTTCACAAGAAAAGTATATGAACCTGATATATCTTGAATGATGTTAAAGTTATGTAGAATTTATGAGATGGAATTTACAGTCATCTATGAGATGTCCTCGTAGCAATTTTAACAGACCGTAGATGAAATGATACATAATTGACTAGAGGTGTTGATAATTTTAATGTGCCTGCCATTTGAGGTTGTTAAACTCAGAAAAAGGGAATGAATTTTCCTTACCTTTTATTCATCAATCATAACGGTATATATACAAGTATAGACATATCTAGTTCCTATTATTTAGCCTACAGATCAGCCTACAATCTGTAACTTATCTAATCCCTACAAATCAGCTATCTAATCCCTACAAATCAGCCTACATCTGTAACTATCTAATCCCCACAAATCAGCTATCTAATCCCTACAAATCAGCCTACAATCTGTAACACTCCCCCTCAAGTTGGAGCATAGATATCAATCATGCCCAACTTGTTACATAGATAATCAGTACGGACCCTGTTAAGAGATTTTGTGAATATATCACCTAATTGTTCCCCAGTCTTCACATAACCTGTAGTGATCAAACCCTGTTGGATCTTTTCACGAATGAAGTGACAATCAATCTCAATATGTTTCGTTCGTTCATGAAAGACTGGATTAGAAGCAATGTGAAGTGCAGCTTGATTATCACATCGTAGCTTTGCAGGTACCGAGACCTTAATTCCTACTTCACTCAGGAGCTGATATACCCATATGATTTCACACACAGACTTTGCCATAGCTCTGTATTCAGCTTCTGCACTTGATCGTGAGACTACATTCTGTTTCTTACTCTTCCATGAAACCAAATTTCCCCCAACAAAAACACAATATCCTGAAGTAGATCTCCTATCTTCCTTACACCCTGCCCAATCAGAATCTGAGAAACATTCGATCCTAGTATGACCATAATTGCCATATAGGATACCACGTCCAGGAGCACCTTTTAAATAGTGTAAAACTTGTTCTGCTGCTTTCCAATGGTCAATAGTTGGTGATGACATGTACTGGCTCAGCACACTCACTGAATAAGCAATATCAGGACGTGTCACAGTAAGATAATTCAACTTTCCAATAAGTCTTCTATACCTCTCAGGATCTGCAAACAACTCACCTTCTTTGGTTAACTGTAAATTAGGAACCATTGGGGTACTACATGGTTTAGCACCCAATTTTCCCGACTCCATCAGTAAATCAAGCACATACTTCCTCTGAGATAGGAAGATTCCTTTCTTACTCCTGCTAACTTCAACTCCCAAGAAATACTTTAACATCCCCAAGTCTTGGGTATGGAACTGAGTAGTAAGAAAGGACTTCAGAGACGAAATTCCTCTAGGGTCACTACCTGTGATGACAATATCATCCACATATACAACTAACAGAATAATACCCCCATGAGATTGTTTATAGAAAACAGAATGATCGGACTTGCTCTTTTGCATCCCAAACTTTTCAAGAGCTTGGCTAAATTTTCCAAACCAAGCCCGAGGACTCTGTTTCAAACCATATAGAGATTTGTTCAGACGACAGACTTTCCCATACTCCCCTGGAGCAACAAAACCTGGTGGTTGCTCCATATAGACCTCCTCCTGAAGATCACCATGAAGAAAGGCATTCTTGATGTCTAATTGATGCAGAGGCCAGTCATAAGCTGCTGCAAGGGAGATAAATAACCTGATAGAAGCAAGTTTAGCTACAGGAGAAAAAGTATCATGATAGTCCACGCCATAAGTCTGAGCATATCCTTTAGCAACAAGTCTAGCTTTCAATCGAGAAATGGAACCATCAGGATTCATTTTGACCGTAAACACCCATTTACATCCAATAGCTCGTTTACCTGCAGGTAGGGTAACTAAAGTCCACGTACCATTGACATCTAGAGCATTCATTTCCTCAATCATAGCATTCCGCCATCCGGAATGAGCTAATGCCTCTTGAACAGTTTTGGGTACAGAAATAGTGTCTAGGGATGTAAGAAAAGCACGAGAAGAGGAAGACAAATGATTGTAGGAAACAACTGAAGAGATTGGATAAGTACATGCACGTTTACCTTTTCTTTGAGCAATAGGGAGATCAAGATCATCATTGGTAGTCGGATCTGATGACGAAGATACTGGTTCATCAGGACATGATGTTGGAGACTCCAGGACCAAGTCAGAACTGGGCAGATGTGGGCGACGCGAGTAGGTGTATTTGATGGGAGGCTTAACTGGTGTAGAGGGAGGCGAATCCAAATTTGGTATGACACTATAGATTAACAAATCATCATCCTCCCCCGGACTCACAGAACCTGAAGATGAGGAGAAAGGTGTTTGTTCCAAAAAAGTGACATCGGCAGACACAAGATACTTACCAAGACTAGGACAATAACAACGATACCCTTTTTGTACACGGGAATAACCCAGGAATATACACTTTAAGGACTTAGGATCAAGTTTTGTAACTTGAGGACGAACATCCCGAACAAAACAAGTACACCCGAATATCTTTGGTTCTATAGGAAACAATTGTCTATTCGGGAATAGAGTGTGTAAAGGAGTATTACCAGATAAAACAGAGGAAGGCATACGATTGATTAGAAAACAAGCAGTAGATACAGCATCAGCCCAGAAGCATTTAGAAACCTTCATTTGAAATAACAAGGCTCGAGAAGTTTCAAGAAGATGTCTATTCTTTCTCTCAGCAACCCCATTTTGAGAAGGGGTGTCAACGCAAGAAGTTTGATGGAGAATACCCTGCTCAAGCATGTATTTCTGAAAATTTCCTGAAACATATTCTTTTGCATTATCACTTCTTAAAATTTGTACTGGTTTACCAAATTGGGTTCGTATTTCAGCACAAAAGGAAGAAAAGTGAAAGAATAATTCTGAGCGATTTTTCATCAAATAAAGCCATGTCATTCTAGAATAATCATCAACAAAGGTAACAAAATATCTGAAACCAGTTTTAGAAGTCACCGGACAAGGACCCCAAACATCGGAATGGACTAACTCAAAGGGAGCAGTAGCTCGTTTATTGATTCTAGGACTAGAACTAAGACGATGGTGTTTAGCAAACTGACACGACTCACAATCTAATGAAGTAATGTTCGAAAGCTGAGGACAAAGTTGCTTTAACATAGAAAGCGAAGGATGACCCAATCGACAGTGTTCTTCAAGAGGAGAGACTGTTCCAGCACAGGCTATAGACCCTGGTTTCTGTGTATCAAGAATGTAGAGACCGTCAGACTCATGTCCCTTACCAATAATCTTCTTCGTCATGAGATCCTGAAATACACAAGAACCAGGAAAAAATGAGACACAACAATTAAGGGCACGAGTAAGTTTGCTGACAGAAATCAGATTAAACGATAGTCGTGGTAGACTCAGAACAGATGACAAATGGAGAGATGATGTAGGTTTAGTGGTTCCAGACCCAATAACACTGGATGTTGAACCATCGGCTAAAGTAACAGGAGTGATAGATTTATGTGGCTGAAAGTTAGAAAGTAAATTGGGATTACCTGTCATGTGATCTGTAGCACCAGAATCAATGACCCATTTTGGAGAAGAGGAAACAAGGCATGTATTGGGTTTACCTGTCTCAACAAGTGCAGTAACACGACCGGATGGCTGTTTCACTGTTTCGTGAAACTGAGTCAATCTGGCATACTCATCTGCAGAGATTGTAACAGACTTTTCAGAGGTCTCAGAACTAGATGCAACATGTGCAAATTGAGCTTTCTTATACTGTAGCTTTCGACAGTCCCGCTTGATATGTCCTGGTTTATGACAGTAGTGACATACAATTTCTCCTTGCTCCTTTCCACGATTTTCAGTAATTTTATCAGAGTTGTTGGACCCCGACCCCATGCTCTTACTGTTGCCACTACTCTTGTAGTGTTGTCTTCCTGAATCAAATGTGGTAGTACGGCTAATAAGAACACTGTTAGGCTGAGTGGATAGAACAGGTAACGTATTCTCTGTACGAAGAATCCTTCGAAAAGCATCTTCTAGACAGGAAATTTCTGATCCGGAAAGAATTTGAGATTTGGCAGTCTCAAATTCAGACGGAAGACCGGCGAGAAAACTCATAACAGCCATCTTCTCTCGCTGATTCCGTTGTTCCTCCACATTGATACTGAAGGGAAGCAGCATATTGAGCTCTTCATATGTTTTCTTGAAGTCCATAAAATAACTGGTGAGAGACTTATCTCCTTTATCTGCCCTGTAAAAATCCTTGCAAACATCATAGATACGAGAGAAGTTTCCTTTTCCCGAATATAAGAACTGCAAATAGTTCATTAACTGTTTCACTGTCTTACAATGGGTAACCAGGCCCACCACCTCACTATCAATAGAATTACGAATTTGTATATACAAGCGAGCATCTTCTCTCACCCAAGACAGTCTAGAGTCATCCGTAGGTGGATCATCGGTCAGATGACCATCCATAGAAATACTGAGTAGATATAATTCAATAGTATGGTTCCAATCAAGAAAATTAATTCCATTTAATTTGTGTTCCGTGATTTTTGAAACCAACGGAACTATATCAGAAACTCCAGTCTTTTTGTCAGACATAATTGCTAAGAAAATTCAACAAGATAACAGATTACCCACAAGAGAACCTGTCGTAGCCAGGTCCCACACCTAGATCGATGTTGACCCAAAAACGTACCTCCCTGAGTTGGCGGTGTCTTTAGAGGAACCTTTAACGCCTGCACCTTGAATATGGCAGCAGCCTCCCTCACGCCCAACAGCCCAGAAAATTTTTTTTTTTTTTTTTCTTAAAAAAACTTATGAACAGAACTGCTCTACACAGAACTGCTCTGATACCATGTTAAACTCAGAAAAAGGGAATGAATTTTCCTTACCTTTTATTCATCAATCATAACGGTATATATACAAGTATAGACATATCTAGTTCCTATTATTTAGCCTACAGATCAGCCTACAATCTGTAACTTATCTAATCCCTACAAATCAGCTATCTAATCCCTACAAATCAGCCTACATCTGTAACTATCTAATCCCCACAAATCAGCTATCTAATCCCTACAAATCAGCCTACAATCTGTAACAGAGGTGAACTTCCCCTAAGAAAGTTTTGAATCAACTAAACATGTGGTCCTCGAAGCAGTAGAAGTCCATGACTTTAACTTGCATACTAGAAGCATAGACATGGAATTGGCATGACAGAGACAAACAAAGACAACATTTTTACAGAAAGGGATTCAAAATTTTTCCACACATGAAAGTATTATACTTGTTTAATGGATATATGCCTTCAAAAATTTTCATTTACCAATTTAATGTATGATATATTTGTAGATTGACAAAAGGGGAGTATAGAAGTGCACATTTTGTTCTCGAAACATATTCAGGGTTAAAGGACTGACATCGCACCTATTTTATTCTAATAGCCACACATTGCAAGCTAAAGCATAGTTGCTATGTCAAATAAATATAATTTCATTATCATTGTGAATGCAATTTTAATTGCTGTCTTTAACATTTACTAATAAATCAGTTGTTTAACAAATTGTATTATGCTTTTCCTCATTATATGGCACATGTAAATTGTGGATATTGCATATCGAGTCTTTCATAACTATTTTAAACTTGATTACTAATAAACATTTCACACTTGCTAAATTTACAAATCATTTTCAAAATTTCGCTTTTCATTTCTTTAATTATTGGCATGGTTGAAGGACTGTTATGCATGTTAGAGGGTTTAATACTTGTGTTTCAATGGCACTTGTAGGACTCAGATGAATATTAATCAAAATTCAATTCTTTTCTTTATGGTGGATACCTGGTTGTTAAAAAGACACTACCTGATTATTTTGTTAACTTCTTGCCTTTATATCCTTGATTCCTTGCCCATCTGCCCCAGAATTGATCAGACCAGACTATCATGACCTATGGAATCTTCTAAAGTATGTAATACCCTTGAACTTGCAAAAAATGTCTCAAGAATTTACACTTTCCTCTGCGCTTGTCTTTTGGTATTACCATACCTTTACGTGAATTGTTTGATCAATTTATTCTTGTTTTTTGTTTTTTCAAAATTATCACTTTGGAATTCAAGAAAAGTGCCTTTGATAGGAGCCAGCATTCAAAGAGTTGATTCTGCTCTATACAAAGGAGTTGGATGGAACAGATACTGAAGATAAAGCTAATGTTCCTCCCTTGGAGTTGAAGATTTATGAGAAAATTCCTATACCAGATTTACCAGTAAAATTACTAGAACTACACTTAGACTTAGTCTGTTTCTATTGGTGAAAATTTATTACGCTATTTGAATTTTCAATGTCTAGGTGGGGCAGTTCTTTACTTTATTTCTCATGTGTATTTTGGTGTAGGTTATATTTCCTCACAAGAAGCTTTCTTTCCGCATCCTTGATGCGGTATGGAGAAAATTCAGTAATACTCTTCCACACAAAAATTTTTGATAAATGTTTATGAATTTGGACTTCTTGCTAATTGCTTTACTCGTATCATAGCAAATTGTTGTCTTGGCTCATTTGTTATTCTTTTTCTCTAAAGACAGTTGGAGTGTTAATTTGGCTTTTCTAATCATGTAGGCTATCATCTTCTTTCAATCTTTGGTTGTTATTGTTTCTGTTGTCCTGTTTCGAATCATCTAATCTGCTTCTGCCAACTAAATAAATAGAGTAGATAAATAGAAGTGGTTTAAAGGAGAGCAAGTTCAAGACTCCACTGAAAGAAGTTTTTTTCACTTGACATGAATGATGAAAATGTAAGGAAAAAATGATAGCAATTGACTTTGATATGGAGAACTCAACGAAATAAACTTATTTATTGTATCCGGTTGTTCAATTTTTCATTTCAATTCACCTGTCAATGCATGTTATAATTCAATCGGGTGCAGTTATTCAGCAATTTTTGTTTCCAACTTGCTATTGATCTCATTTCTAATGATTTCCATATTAATTGTATAGTATGTTCAAAAGATTCAGTGTGATGATTGGAAATTGATTTTAGTCCTGTTACTTTTCATGCCTTAGATGTGCATTAGATATCATAAAAGTATGCTTCATCGTGTATATATATCATATGCCTTTTCCTCTTCAGCATGTCATGCTAATGTTGTTCGTTGGTATACTAGGCGTGATAATTGCATATTGCCTTTATTCCTTTTTTCTTTCTGCTTGTGGATCTGCTTTACATATTATTAAATAAAATATGCATCGTTGCTGAAATGTTTTCTCCTCTTGATGATGTTATGCTAATTCTGTTTGTAGGTACGCTTGGATGTGGCTACTATATTGGGACTATTAGCATTCTTCATAAACTACAAGTTTGAGGACATTTTATCTTCCCCGTATGTGCTCAGTAATTAACTATTGCTTCTAAAATTCTCCTTTTCTCGGCATGTTATTTCTGAAAATTTTTCACTTTTAGATCTACCGAGACTCCTTGTTGTGCAAGGAACAGTCTGGCAATTTGACAGTTCTGCTGGCCTTTTTCCCCCCTTTCTGTTCTTTAAAAGGTAGAGATCATTGTATAAAAATTGCACCAGGATTCAATCAAGGTACATAAGTTACCAGATTCGTATGGGATTGAAGCATTCCGAATAGGGCTGGGAAAGATGTATGCCATTGCAAAAGGATCTACAGAACTGGAAAAGACTGTCCCACAAACAGTTTCAGTTTGGAGGATCTTACTCATTCCATCAGACCTACCACTGTTCTGATTGCCATGTAGTGATTTTGATATGTACATAGATATCTGTCTGGCATGTTAGTTATTATTTATCCTTCTATAAGGTCCCCAGCTGATAAAAATTTGATAAAAAATCATATATTCTGCCTGGAATTATCAGATTAAAGCTCTCATAGCTTGGATTTTATAGCCTTATAATATTGCATGCTCCTTTCAATGTCATTACGATACCGCAACATTATCAGATTTCTAAATTTCTTCTCTGGAGTAATAGCACTTTGCATTTAGATGAGCATGTTGTGCCAGTATACTGTTTAAGAGTTTATTTTAGAATTGAGCTCATGAAAATGCAGTCTATCATTCTAGATTGTGTTTCCCTATGGAAAGTGATTATTAACACCTTATAGCTGCCTTGTGTTTTCATAATGTGGATGTTGTAAAAAGTTTATGATTAAAAGACCTGCTGAATTTGTTTTGATTGACATTTTCATATGGCAGCTGCACGATGTTATATTACATGCTCCTTAATTTGCGTGTTCTCGTATTTCCAATATTGGTGATTCAAGGACAATGTTTTCCTCACCAATGCCTTTGATATCTAAGCCATATACTTAAACTATGTGCTAATTGACGGTGAGGATTTGAATTTCGTCATCTGATTCTTGCAGATCGGCTATACTTCTGGATGTAATTACAGTTAGTGCACTTTTAATATATGTTTTTCGTGTGGTCTTGGGTTATAAAACTACCAGGGATCGGTACCAAGTGAGTCCAGAATGTCCCCCTCCTTTATTTCAGGTTATGTTTTAGCATGCATCTCCAGATCTCATGGTTTATTTTCTCAATTTTTTTAAGCTTCTCGTTAACAGGACACTTTATGAGAAAACTGTCGCAAGTGGCTTTGGTTCCGTTCACTTTCTCCTTGATGCTTCTCAACAACAGCAAGTAAGGGCTCTATTTCGTCAACTCATTTTAGCTGGACAAATAGAGATAAGAACTCCGAAGTTGTTCCAACTTAGAGTTAGCTAAGTAATATAAAGTTTTCCTGCTCCATCCCAATTCCTCTTGCACGATATCCCTTTTTTCCTCCTGGTGGTGGCAGAAAGTTTCATCTATATAATGATTTTTTTCCTTTTAATTGTCTGTGCAGTACAAGGAAGCCATTCTTGCATATGCAATCCTACTTAAAGGAGAGAATTGCCAGGTCTATCTTAATCTACTTGGTCCTCTATTTGTATACATTGACTTCAACAAGTTCAGTGCATCTGCTTCCTGGCAGTTTTGTTTTCTCAGGGTTACATTAGATAAACTTCCAGTATGCTTCTTAAGCTCAAGTTCTTTTCATTTCCATATTTTCTGTTTATATTTTTCCTTTTGACATATGTCATTAAGATGAACTTGAACTCCTGTGATATTTTTGCACCAATTTCGCATTGCGGACATGGCATAGTACACCAAAATCATATTACTAGTCTAGGATTTAGCAACCTGCCCTCTAATTGGGCAAACGGCTATTCTCAGATGGCACGCACTTTGCACCTAACACAGTACCAATAATGAAGACAGACCTTGCCCTTGTGAGAAACTAGTGAAGGTTGCTAGGAATGCTATGCTGAAGGACATTTATAAGGTATTGCGGTGAGTGGATTCCTTAAATTGGAGTGACTGCCGCTGTAAATGACGTGCATAAATTAGAAATAGCAGCTTGTTGTCACAACAAATCAAAGACATGCACTTGTAACTGGAAATTCTGATGTATACATTGACAACCTTCATGTGTTTGTACATTTGAAATTTTGGGTTTGCACATTTGTGCAAAGAGATGGCTTCTTTGTGGTTATCAGCCTCATGTATATCTGCATATAATCAGGAATTTTTAAAATGCAGATGGTTTCTGCAAGGAGGGTTGGAGACGAGTGTGAGAAATTTATTTTTGATGTTTTCAACGAAAAGGTAAAAGCGTGACATGTTTATTTGTCAGCTGCAATTATTTGTGTTGATGAAAATCTGGATATTTGTGCAGATTGAAATGCCAATTGACAAGGCAAAGAACACGTTGTTGAGGCTTGGGCTTGTAACGGAAACAGCTTTGGAAGACGGAACTATACTCCAGGCTGTTCCCTGCTCTAGGGTGGCTGAGATTCTTAGACAAAAATGGGATGGCTTGCTTGCTTAAGTTTGTATGGTTGAATAGCGGATGGTTGAGCTATGCCCTCTCTGCTTAAGTGATGCTGTCACCTTGGCTTGTTGCTGAGATGGGGAACACAAGTTATTGGTTCTGTTATGTGATGGCATGCATTGGCATTCTGGAGCTTTTCTCATTCATAAATGGCAGAGGAAGGATGTAGAAAGGAGAATGAGGATGTTATTGTGATTTTCTGTAAATTCTTTGTTAGGTTAATCAATGTTAATTCATGCTCTCCAGAAACCACCTGTATCATGTACAATTTCCTCTGGATTTGGAAGACAACTCCATGTTTGAATAAAATAGAGGAGGAGGAGGTCATAGTTTGTTGTTACAAACATTGATAATCTTTGCTGTTATAGCCATTGAAACTCTTTGATGGTGATACATGTTAATGTGTGGTTTTATCAGCTGCACTTGTTCCTTGGGCAGAAGAAAGAAATATATCCAGTTAGGAAATCCATTTGACATGTAAATTTGCAATTTTGGCTCCATTTGCTGTCGAAATTGTCCCCTTGGTGTCTGAATTTTTTATTCTTTAGATTCTGATAGCTCTCTTACCTACCGGATCAAGAAGCTAATCATCATATTCACATAAACAGGGCCAGTTTGAGAAAACAATTTCATAAATTAATTTTTAAAAAGTATTCTAAAAGGTAATCTAAAAATTAGTTTAATTTTTTTTAAAATTTTAAAAAATATCTCAAAATATATTTCAGAAACTCTTCTACTCTTAAATATCTCAAAATATTTTCTGAAAATATTTCAAAATACAATCTAAAAACTCTGCTACAACAAAATTTTTCAAAAACACCTTTAAAAACAACTAATCCAAACGGAGGTTTAAACAGATAAGATGTATATATAATACATATATATACACAATATCATAATTTAGTTATAATCCAATTCTTAGTTATATGAGAAATCAACTTGACTAAGTTTGGTGAATACGGAAATGTAACTTGACTTCTTGTGTTTTGTTTTTATCTTGATAGCTTGTTAATCTTATTTAGTGTTGTTTACAATTGTGTTATTGCACGTGACCATACAATTGTGATTTCGTTCTATTACATATCAGTCGAATGTTTTAATGTCATTTTCATGGTATTGACATATTGCTAATCTTCTTCAATTATTAGTATTTGCAACACATTGAATAGTCTAAAGTTGAGTACTTGAACTTGTTGTTAATGAATATTTTGAGATAGAATAAATAATAAAATTGTCCCGTGAAAGGATGAGCAGATTGTTAAATATGGTAGGTTGATTTCTTCTCTCGTGAGAAAAATGGGACAGGGGGCGAGGGAGGGAGGAGTTATTTGACAACGGGGCCACCCCGCCTCATTGCCACCCTTATTAATAGATACAATAAAATTGCTTTTAGTCAATATTTGATAAATTAATAACCTCTATTAAATAATAATTTTTATCCATCCCGATTTGGGCTAATGAGTTAAATTAATAATTTTGATAAAATAATAAGATAATAATTTTTTTGAAAACCTTACTTAACTCATTGGCCCCATTCATTTCATAAATATATAATTCACTAAAATTACATATCACATTTTTTCTAAAATACAAGTCTATTATTGATTTATAAACATTTTTTAGATAGGAAGTAGTAGTTTAACGATGAATTATGTAAGCAAACCTTGTATTTGTTTATCATAAAAAGACTATATACATAATATTGTTAATATAATTCATTGTATGTATTTAATAAAATGAAAGTGGGCATTTATCATTTACTATTTTTTAATACTTTTGACATCTTAATAATAGAAAAATGATATCAATTGCATACATACAGTAAAGACATTAATAGAATTAAATTATACTTGCAAATCAGTTAGATATGGATTGGTTTATGTTCCTTAGATTTTGAACCTCCTTTTTATTAATAGAATAGTCTATATTTTCATAAAATAAAGTAAAACTTTAGCTGATTAAATGAGTATTTCTTTGAATTGTTAGTACATTCAATAATGAATAAATTATCAATTTATCGATTAATTAATACCTCTCTAAATTAATAGAATTTATATGGTTCCAAATTTATAAAATTATAGAGGTTTTACTTTATTAATAACAGGGGCCAAAAATAGATTGTTATTTATGTTCCTATAATTTCAGAAACCTCCGTTAAGATTTCTAACAATTTCACGAGACTTCCTTGAGATTTACATATAATTATGAGGACCTCCCTTGATGTAACAAAAAGACAACAATACCCTTCACTTAATTATCAATTCATTGAAATTTTCTAACAAAAGGCCGGCTCTGTTTGGATTGTAAATTATTTGAGATATTTTTATTGTAACACTTTTTGTGATGTGATGTATGTGAGATAAAAAGATAATTGAGAAGATAAAAAGGTGTGTTAGAAATTGTAATGATGACGTAAGCAAATAAATTTTGGCTAATAATTCTCTATCCAAACAAACCAATTATATATATGATCGATATAATTTGACTTTGAAAGATGGAGAGCTCACTTTACTGAATTCCACTGGAAACTCGTTTGTTGTTAGCGTCTGATTCCTCGGTTAGAATCACTCCAGCACCATCCAAGTACTAGGCAAGAGAAACAGTATGCAGAATATATCATATTTTTTGTATGGAATTTAGGGAAAAAAAAATAACCTTATTGAGTTCGACTAGAACTTGCTCGATGTTAGCATCTGATTCCTAAGTTGGAATCACTCCAGCAGCATCTAAGCATTAGGGAGGAAAAAGAGTATGTAGAATATATCATATTTTTTGTATGGTATTTAGGAAAAAAATAAAAAGGTGTAAAGTGAGGCATTTGTAAAAAAAATATCAAACATTTCTCCAACTTCTCAAAAACCTACACAACAATAATAGTTTTGTTTTTATTGACTTATGTAATAATTAATAGTACTCAGAGAGTGTCAACAATAACAAACTGTAACAATAGCATTTTCAAGAACCTACATAATAGTCGTCCAGTGGTCATCCCAAGCCTTTTTAGGCTTGGTGGTGCGGGAGGTCAAGGGTTCGAACCTTGCCTCCCACAAAATTTGTCACAATATGTGACGGTCTTCATTGACCAGTTGCGATGGAGTTTCTACTCACATCGAATCCCCTCCTCCTCCCCCCTAGAATAGGCTAGCTTAGGTTATAGGAATTCTATCGTATCGACAAAAAAAAAGAAAAAAAGAACCTACATAATAAATTTTTCTACACAAAAAATTATTGGTTTTATTGACCCATGTAACAATTAATAATGTGTAGATAGGAAACTCGGAAATAGCAGAACATGAGGAAGGAATTGTTATTGTATAACAGGTAAAACATATTATATATATATATATATATATTTAAAATAGATGAAACTGTAAATTGTTGAAGGCAATGATTCAAACTCCAGCCTTCTCTATTTAATTCTCTATTTTCTTTTTCATACATCTTTTTTTTCCTTTCAAATTTATTTATCTATTTTTATCGATTAAATGTGTACCACTGTCACCAACAAAACTGTCATACACACAATCGCCGATTTTTACCCATCTTGGTGTCTATTCTTAATTCTCTGTCTTCCACTATTAAAGAGCTTTTTTGCGCCCATTTTTGTTTTCAATTTTTGGCAAGTATTAGCAAATTGAAATTGTCAAATAATAGATTGCTTGATGATTTTTTTAGTAAATTAGATGGAGATGAAAACAGCGGCAATGATTAAAAAAATAAAGGGTGGAAAGTCTAAGAGGAATTAAATAAAAATTATACAATTATGGTTGTTATGGAAAAAAAGATATTCCTAATATATTTATAACTGTACTGTGTTTCTATTTTTTATTTACAATTATTAGTGATGATATTCCTACAAAGACATAATTTGATTGATTTTGAATTTCAATTCCGTGCTAATGGAGTATATTGGGTATTGGTATTAGTGGTAATGATTTAAATTATATTGATATTAGTGGTGATGATATGAGATTGTAGGTAAGCTTTTAGGTATTTGACGTGGCATTTTTAGTTGATTCAATGATTTGCAGTGGAAGGAGCAAAGGTAAGCGCTTGCTTAGTGGTGATTTAGATGTTGTGAATTGTAACATAAGAGCATTCTAGAATTTTTGAGAAAAGGTATTGGATTTGGATCTACAATGTTGATTAAACAATGAAAATATGGTCGGTGGGTGTAATTTTTAAAACTCAAGGGGAACATTCTGCAATTATGTAAAACTTCAGGGAAGGTATGTAAAATTGTCCCAAATATTTTCGGTCGGTCTCAGTCCTCCTGCCTCCTACCTCCGGCCCGCCGCTCCTGTGGCTGAAGAATTGGCACTCACTACCACCCTCCTTCCTCCTTCCTCCTTCCTCCTCCCACTACTCTGTCCGTCTGTCTCTCTCTGCTCACTTTCTCTTAAGAAGCCAAGGAGCTCAGCTCACTCCTCTTTCTCTCTCGGCGCCACATTCAGAATTCTAGTACTAATTGTCAATTCTAAAGACCCATTTTCGAGCTCCGCCCTGCAAATATTCATGTAAGTTCCAATTCTCCATTGCATCTTTAATTGAAGCATCAACTCTAGTAGCGTTTTGATTTGAATGGCTGAATTTGGGACTTTTTTGAATTTTTGTTTATTCATTTTTTTTGTTTTAATTTTCTTTTTATGAAAGGGGAATAAATGCTGCTGTGAAAACAGGTCCTTTGTTTGACGCAACATGACATGCTTACATAGCCTAGAACTGATCCTACAATTCCCCGTATGCAATCACAGAAAATCCCAGCTTGTTTAGTTCTCTCAAATTTCTTCACCTGTAATTACATCAGGCACAAAGAACGATATTGTTAAGCGAAGAAATGGAACTAGCTAGAGGGTTCTTTAAAAATAAAAAATTTTTGACATATAACTTGCTCTTAATCCTAGCATAAAACTACTAGAAATGTAATGTGTACCTAAGCTGAAAAAAGCTTTTTGCTTTTCCATCCTATGAAAATAAACTGGAAAGCTACTGACTTCCGAGGGCAGTTGCGTTTGGTTATTTGTTCTCCCGTGCAACGGGGATCCATTGGCATATTGGAGCATTTCTCTTTGTTTAGTACACGGTATAGCGAGGAAGTGGAAAGGAGAAGTAATGTTATTCTAGTTTTCTGTGTAGACTTGATAGGCCACTTAGTGTTAAGTCGTGCTTTTTGGAAACATGACATGGTATCAAATAGAATTGAAGAGAATTACGTATTTGTAAAACAAAGAAGGTGATGGTTCGATGTTTTAGACATTGATAATTCTGTGAAGGAGATATACGTCAATTTGTTTTCTCTTCTGCTTGTTTCTTGCACGGTCACAACTGAACGAATGTATCCAATTTGGATGGACAAAAGGTGCATGTGACTTATTAGTTGGCAGTTTCAGCTTCCAGCATCTCTTCAAGTTACCTATCTGGAACCTGATTCTGTATTCTTTAAATTCTGATGCTTATTCCTGATAAATGTTTACTTTTCAGATGAAAGAATTATCATATTCATCAGCACAGGGGCCGGTTCGATGAGTTAGTTAATACGAAAGATTTCTCTATATCTGTCATACAACTTTCTTCCCTAGTTTCTTCTTTTGAAATCCTTTGAGACACTAGTTAATATGAAGAAAGGAGGTCGAACGTTTCAATGATTTGGTTGTGATCTTAATTTATGGCGATGCTATCACTTATTTAATCTGGTTTCTAATTAGCCTAAAGTGATTGCACGCTGCTGAACCACACAGGCACCTCATCCCTACACTACTGGACTAGTTACTCCCTCCTCACCTGTCACAGATCCTTGAAACACCTCCAACTCAATCTTGTTAGTGTAAAACACCTCATTCCCCTTTTTTACAAACAGGAACAACTCTCTCTCCCCATGGAAGCGAGAAATCTCCCTAATTTTTCTCCCACCTTGTTCATAACCCTAGTATGTTTCAAATATCTAAATTGATGCCTGTGAAATTTAAGTAAGTTTTGCTTCTTGCTTTCCGTGACATATGCATAATCACAGTGTTTCAGTTTGAGTGAGAAAAACTTTGGGATATGGTTTTAGCATTGCTGTTGATTATTTTGTTTTAGCCTCCTTTTGATTTGAAAAGTAGGCACTGTTCTCCTTCCATCAAAATTCAGAGCTTTATTGGTTCTAGTACTTGGTTTGTCTAGTACATAGTCCTTTTTACCCATTGTGATATACCTCAGTTTTACTCTGTCCACTTTGCAGTTGAATTTGGAGATTAGAGAGATAATTAAATGAATATCAGCAGGAAAAACCTATGTTACATTACATGGACTCGGTTGCGGGGTCGGATATGGGTGCGTGTCAAAGTGTCAGATTCGCATATTTGAAAATTGTAGGATCCGGAGATATGTGTCCGATTTTGGGTACAGGTGCGGGGGTTTTAGAAATAAATTATTCTAAAATTTATGCACAATGATATATAAAGTGTATTTTAATAAAAAAAATTCATTTAAATGTACACTTAGGTTGAAAAGAACCATAAGCTTGGTCAGAAAGGGTAAAATTTTCAAGTATGAGGGGCTGACATTATATAAAAAAAGTGCAAAATTGTAAAGAGATTAAGTTACTTGTTGAAAATGATAATTAAAGTCAAAACACAGGGATTTAGTTGCAAAATAAATATCATTGTCAAACCCTATATTCCTCCTCCCTCATTCAGCCTCAGCGGTGCGGGTGCTGTCACCTCATTTTACAGAACAGAGCACCTCTTTCTCCATTTAATTAACAAAAAGCCACTCTTTACTCTCAGATGCCATCATTGCTACAATCCCATATGCGCCAATAGAAGAGAATCAAAGCTGCCGGTATGGTATTAATCGAGCAAAAACACAATACAGCAGGCAGGCAGGCAGGCAGGCAGGTGTCATGAGTAGTTTTGTATTCAAATCTCTAGCAGCCGCAGAGCCACCCTTCTTCCTCTTTCACTCTCTCATTCTCATGTCCATCTCTTATCAACATCGCTATCTTGCAGCACATCTGTGAAGTTTTGACCATATTAGGTCAGGTACAGGTACGGATTCTTCCGTACAAGACCCTCGGTGAATGGCGAGTCCGCGTAACATAGGGCAAAACTACAAGACCCTTGGCGGCGGCGGCGGGGGTCAGTATGTGTTGGACTATCTGAAGCGAATGCAAGCTGAGAATCCTTGTTTCTTTTATGCAATTCAGGGAGTTGATGACCTCTCCAATGCAAATGCAAATAATGTGAATGTGAATAATGTGTTTTGGGCTGATGCAGCTTCCAAGGCCAACTACATCTATTTTGGGGACGCTGTTAGACTTGACACTTCTTACAGGTCCAAACGCTATAGACTACCACTTGCTACCTTCACCGGCCTCAATCATCACGCGCAACCTGTTCTGTTTGGCTGTGCATTGCTCTTCAACGAGTCCCAGAGCTCCTTTATTTGGCTTCTTCAGAATTGGGTTCAAGCTATGTCTGGACACCATCCTGTCTCCATCACCACTGATCTTGATCCCCTCATCAAGATGGCTGTTGAGCATGTTCTTCCAAATGTACGTCATCGTTTTTGTAGTTGGAGCATATTCAAAGAAACCCAGGAGAAGCTAGCTTCTGTTTGTCAAACAAAAACAAAAACAAAAACAAACCCTGCCTTCGAGTTCGAGATGGAGTTTAAGAAGTGCATCAATGAAGTTGAGACAATCGAGGAGTTTGAGTCATGTTGGCTCTCACTTCTAGATAGATGTGCTTTGACGGATAATGAATGGCTTCAGTCACTTTACAATGCTCGCCATCACTGGGCGCATGTCTACATGCGAGACACCTTCTTTGGGGACCTTTCCATGGCCGAGGCAAGTAGCCCTGTAAACTCTTTTTTTGACGGTTTTGTGAATGCATCCACTACCATACAGTCATTGATTAAACAATGTCAGAAAGCTATAACAAGCTGGCATGAAAAAGAATTAAAGGCAGATTTGGATACTATTAATATAACCCCCGTGCTGAAGACACCCTCTCCCATGGAGAAACAGGCTGCTAATCTCTACACAAGGAGAATATTCATGAAATTCCAAGGGGAGCTTGTTGAGACTCTTGCTAATCCTGCTACTAAAATTGATGACTCTGGAACAGTCGCAGCATATCGGGTGGCCAAATTTGGTGAAGAGCACAAAGCTCATATTGTTAGCATCAATGAACTTGAGATGAAAGCCAACTGTAGCTGTCAGATGTTCGAATTTTCGGGAATAATTTGTAGGCATATATTGTCGGTGTGTAGGGCAAAAAATGTCCTCACTCTGCCTTCGCAATATATTTTGAAACGATGGACAAGAGATGCCAAGAGTGGTGTTGGAGGTGTTGGGGATGAAATCATTCCTGAGTTTTCAAGCGATTCTCAGGAGTCCTTGACTTCTCGTTACAATAATCTTCGCCAAGAGGCTATTAAGTTTGTAGAAGAAGGGGCAAAATCCATTTATATTTATAATGTGGCGATGAATGCTCTACAAGAGGCTAGAAAGAAGGTTGCTACTGCAAAGAAGAAAAAGTTCGATGCCACACAGGGAAGCCTTGAAGCTAATGGATGCAATCATGAGATTCATGCAGGGGAAGATAATCAATCAAAAACCTGTACACATCTTTCCTCGGTGAGATTATACAGTTTATTTGTTATCTTCTTTTTCATTTTTGTACAAAAAGGATTTTTCTTTCAAGATTTTGATCATTTTTCTTCTAGCTTTGAGAACAAAGGTCATGTTTAATGCCTTCATTATTACTTTAAAATGGTTCTGCTCCAATGCCCCCCCTAAATTGAGTGACACTAACTTCACTTCTCTAACTTGAGTATGTTACTTGTATTTATATTGTGAAAAAAAAGATTACTTTACATGTTTTGTCTAAATTTACTCTAAACCATGAATTGTTTTACTAGAATAATGAATATATGAAGAATATAATTCTGTTCCTAGGTGTTGGGTTTATGTTATTGGGGCGACTAGAATGTTAAGTGCAGCCCAAAAGTTAAATAATTTACTTATGGCCCAGACCCTAAAAGCTGATCTACCTTTGAGAAAAAAAAAAAAAAGAAGAGAGAGAGAGAGATAGAGAGAAACCAGATACAATGTCTCCTCAAAACAATGGGCTGCATGGAGAACTAATGGTGGTTTTAAACAAGTGTAAAGATTGTTATGCCATTTGTCTTAATCCTATAGCCCAAACCTCTCTATAAATAGCCATCTCTCCCCACACTTCCTCTTCTTTCCCCCTCCCTCCCTCCAGTTTCCTTGTTGTTAGACAAAGAGAGTAAAATCAGGGGGAAGAAGAGTTGTTCACTTGATGTGAGTTTCCAATCTTTCTTTTTAAAATGTTTTATCAATATTTAAGCATGTAATGTAGAGAATGTATATAGTTTTATGCACATATAGATACATGGTATAAGTGTATACTCGTATAGTTGTGGCTTGGGAAATGATGTGAGTTTGCTGTTTTTCTGAGTCGATGATGTAACCTAGAGCTTATGGATCTTGAATTCACATTTTGCATTTTGTTTTGTAACTGGAGTATTTAAGTACTGATATTGATGTTTTAATTGGTAAACAGAGTATGTGAACGCAATTTTTGTGTGACTAGATTGGTGACTTCCATGAACAATGCCTTTTTGGATGTATTCCATCATGGCAATACTAGCTGCTGCAAGATTGAATCATATAGAACATATGTATTGTTATAGCCTTGTATATGTGGAAGATTCTTCTTAGCCACTAAATCTATGTGTATTAATCGGGTTAAGGATTATGACTTTTGAAATTTAAGTCTCCAGCCAAGAGAACTATCAATGAATTGTGGTGTACCATGAGTTATTGATCTAGAAGGTGATATGAGATTGTTATTAAGTGTCCATCAGCCAGTGGTTCAGCTTTGGCTGCAAATTTTCGTTATAATTGCCTTAGTTACAAGGGGAATTTTAGCTAAGGCAAGATCGATTGAAGATTGTTAAAGATCTCAATTTTACTTCAATTAGGTGCCAGGTCAGCTGTGCTAGTGTATTTACAAATGAACAACTTATTCTGGGAGGATGTATCAGACACTTCGTACACCTTTTAGAAGATTTCTTTGTGGCTAAGTTGGATGCCATTGGCTTCAGCAATTGAATAATTGTCACATTGATGTCAATTTTGAATTAAAGAGATTCTAAGGCAAGCCTCTTGATTACTAATTGTCATTGTAAAAAACTTGAGTGCCTGTCAGATGAAGATGTTTGCTACAAGGATTTATATGAATTCAGATACATGAAAAAGTTAACCAATTGTATTTGGTGATGAAAGGGTAAGTTCGTTGTGGTGTCATTTTTGAACTTGTTCAGTGAAGGCATATTCAGCTCCATTAGCGCAAGTTCTGAAGTAGAAGATCTTCATTTCAATTGGTTAACCGTACGTATCAGGGTTGTATTTATTTCTTATGGAAATTTTGTTCGCAAAATGATAGTCAGCCTCTGGATTATCTATGAAAATGGGTATACCATGCTCTTATTATTTTCTTGCAAACCACAAACTTTTCAGTGGTTTGATATCAATGTAATTGAAAGCCAGTGAATAGATTATTCTCACCCCTGAATGGATAAAATAATCTGATTATGCATTTAAATTATTAGCTTGGATTCTGAAGCCATTGAGAGCTTAGTAAGTTGTTGTCTAATTGCAACTATAACATCTTTGCTTTCAGGTTGAGAAGGAGAAGAAAATCAGGGAACTAGCAGCTGAGTTGCAATCCACAAATCAGCGATGTGAAGTTTATCGTGCAAATCTTCTTGCCGTTCTGAGAGACATGGAAGATCAAAAGCTAAAGCTATCAGTTAAAGTACAAAATGCTCGGCTTAGCTTGAAAGAGTAAACATGTTGGCCTTCTTTTGCTTTCAATAGATAAGAGGAAAAGGCAAATTTATATGAGAGGTTGCTCGTATAGTTGTCTCTGAGATTCTCTTTTTGGGTTGTACATTTGATAGTGCAGATAGTACAACTTGGTAATCATTAAAACATTAAATATTAGAGCTGGATTCTCGATATCTTGAATGTTTAGGTGTATGACATTAAAATGGTGGCCAATCATCATTTTACGCCAATGTATATATTACAGGTGAAAGATCTAATTTATTGGAAGATTGCAGACCAAAAAGCTGATCTTTAATCAGCTAAGAAGGTTATTCATTTTACAGCTTGGCAAGATTGAGTTTGATGATGCTTGACGTACAAGTAATTGGGAGAGAGAGATTACCTCTCCTCACAGTTGCCTTATTCAATCCATTATGACGAATGCCTCTCTTGGCTGTTCTTCCTCAAAAGTTAAGAAAACTGAAGGTTCCCTTCGCATTAAAGAGACAAACGGTTTCCAGAGAAGTTGTCTACACTCTCTCTACGGCAAAGCATTTGCTAAATGAAATCTTCTCACAAAAGTAGATCTTCAGTTTCATAGAGATTGTAATTTCCCTGGCCACCGAAGTCCCCTTGGATCTCTTGGTGCATCTGCTGACTATATTTGTGTTGAAGTTATTTCTGTGGAAGAGGGAGAAGAAGTTGAGCAGATTGCTGGAAGCCCAAGCAGAGAAAGTAGAAGCTGTGACAACTCACATCGTGTATTCATGAATGTTGCTGGTGCATCTGCTGACTATATTTGTGTTGAAGTTATTTCTGTAGAAGAGGAAGAAAAAGTTGAGCAGATTGCTGGAAGCCCAAGCAGAGAAAGTAGAAGCTGTTACAACTCACATCGTGTATTCATGAATTTTGCTGGTGCATCTGCTGACTATATTTGTGCAAGAACTTTCCAAAGCAGTCGTGGATTACCTGATACAAGAACTTTCCAAAGGAGTATTTTGGAGAAAAGGTGTTCTAGTCTAAACAACACTTCTGGCATGACATCGCGGCCAAAAGGATTGTGTAGACCATAGAGGTGCTTGCCTGAGCCCAAATGCCACATTTTTTGCAATGAAATGACAATTATAGGTGCATCATCCTTGAAATTTGGCACTGTTATTGCAGCAAGACAGAGTATTCAAAAGTGTATAGTTGATTAATGGTAAGTGCTTGCATGGTACGTAAATGGCGATTGATTTTCTGCGTTGCTGAGTGGTAAGTGCTTATGTGGTGCAGTCTAGTAGTCGTTGGTGAGACGCTTCACCTGTAATTGATAGATCACGGGTTCGAATCATCAAGGGAGGTAAGTGGGAATCACTCTTGAGTGATTCTCTTAAAATAAAAGTACAAATGTAGTAGGATCTTACATTATTTAAGACAATTTGAAAAAAATATTTTGAAAATGTATTATGCTGTAATGTATAAAACCTAAAACTAAACCAGCACTCTTTGCAATGAAAAAAGAAAAGAAAAAAAAGAAGTTTGTTTTTTTGTTACTTTTTGAAAGATAAATTTACACTTTTTTTTTTTTTTTTGCCTTTCACCACTTACTACTTTTTCCATGATATTTTAACTAGAAATAGGAAAAATGTGTAATTTATATTTTTATGGAGATGTGATTGCAACCCAGAAAGTTGTTTTCATCCGAACAACAATGATGAAGGTATATATATATATATATATACATTTTTATTTTAATTTTTTATTTATTCGTGTGAAATATCTATTTGATCCCTGTTTAAAATAATATAAAATATAAATTTATATTTCTCAAATTTGATTAGACTCGATTGAATTCAATATAAACTCGATTAGGCTTGATAAGCACGAATTCGAATTCGAAATCGATTAATGCAAAATAAAATTGTGATCCAACTTGACTTGAGTTTTTTTCTTTTGGCTAGAGAGTAGAGCTCAATTACACCCCTAACCATATCCCACTCATCAAAGAGTTGGTTTTATTCGAGTGTCAAATGAAAGAGTCTGCATGCCCCCGTAAACTGCGGATTAAGTCTATCCAAGTACGGTGCCCATGCTAGTAGTAGTCTGGTGACGGGAGCGGCAGCGTCATATTTATAAGAGCCAGCAAAAGGCTGCTCTCTTCTTTTTTGTTTGTTTGGATATTCTATTCTGCTTCTTCGGATCTATGCTTCAAATCTTATCTACAAAACAACTCACCACTCGATTCATTCATACAGGTTAGTCATTATTCTTTCCTTCCTTCCTTCCTTCCTTTTCAGTTCATATTCAATTCTTCTTCTTCGAGAGAGAGTAGATAATACTAATACGAATCCGGTCTCCAAGCATCTGGAGAAGCTTCTCAAGGGATGATAATTGGTTGTATACATTCTTCTTTCTGGAGTGTTTCAAGGTTCATCTGATGCTTTTTCAATCCCTCAACTTGTTCAAGTTTGCTCTTTTCGTTTGGTTACATATAGTCTTCTTTATGGGTTTTTCTTGTTTACCGTCAATTAATTCTAGCTTTCCCATATGAACATTAAATTTTTGGAATCCGAACAGTTAATTTGAGCTTGTTCTCGTCTGAATTAAATGAGAAACTATGTATCGTTTTAATTTGTCTGGGGTGTGTGCAATTTCGCCAGCTTCATATTGGGATATACTATGTGTATGGATAAGGTCCATCTGTATCCAAGAATCGCAAGCCTGCATTAACAAAATTGAAGTTATCGTTAGAGAAATTCAGCATGACATGTAACATCAATACTATCAAAAAAGCATGGGTCGATGAATGCATGTTAAGAATGTCGATCCTTGAGGTATTGATGGCGGATTTGCTCCACGCGCGCGCGTGTATATATATGTATGTATGTATGTGTGTGCGTGTGTGCACGCGCGTATTTCCAATGAGTCTGCTTGGTTTCATGGGTCTTAAACGCAACAGATAGAGAAGCTTTTCTGATGGTAACCTGATAAATTGGTTAAGTAATAGTCTTTTCTTTGATGGCTGTATCATTGGGCTCAATTGTACCTTTTATTTGTCTTCATGTTATAAATTTCTTGCTAAAAGTTTGATTGAATTCATCCACTCAGAACTAAAAAAGTGAGATGGTCAGTGAATGGACTGGTATAATGGATGCGCTGGAAGTGTGGAAGGCTAACATTAGTGATCTGGTGAACTGTTATTAAATGCTGCCCGAGTAAATAATGTGTATTTATCTTATATTAGTTTGATAGGAAGATTATTTTGCACTTCAATAGGCTATTTTCATTTGAATGGCCATCAAAGAATTTGGAAATCAAAAGTTTGGATATTTATCAATGCAATAATAGATCCTGCACTTGACTGTTTAATACCTGGAGTGATTGCTGCTACTTTTCATGCATGACTTATCAAATTCATAGGTTGGGGGGGGAGGGGGTGGGGGAAAGTAAAGTGAAGGTTCATTAACTATACTGAACCTGGAAGATGGCTAACTGTTTCCTTGGTTACAGAATTTATAGGTTTTAGTCTAGATGACATCTCATTCTGGATGGGTTAAGCATTCTCTATCCCACCTGTAGAAATGTGAAATCAATTTTGATATGTTATCACTTACCATACCCAACAGTTCTGACTATGATTGGTTTCAATGTTATCACTTTTTCAAATTTTGTAAAGACGGATGACCCAAACGACAGTGAACTTCAAGAGGAGAAACAGTAGCAGGACATGCTTTCGGACCATTGAAGTTGAGAAAATAAAGACCATTATGCTCATGCCCTCCACCAATCGTCTTCTTTGTCTTCAAATCCTGAATGACAACAAAATCAGGAGAAAAAGTAACTGAACACTGTAGAGATTTAGTGAGGTTACTAACAGACATTAGATTAAAGGGCAAATTGGGTACGTAAAGAACAGAAGACAGCGGAAGAGATGGGTTAACTTCTACAGTGCGTAGTCCTTTAACTTTAGTGGTAGATCCATCAGCTAAAGTAACATGAGAAAAGGAAGCAGACTCTTGAAAAATATCAAAATTTTTAGATATACCTGACATATGATCAGTAGCCCCGAAGTCAATAATCCATGAGTCATTACCTTTTTGTGCTAAAGAAGCAGAGGAAAGAGATGCGTGATTTGTAACTTGTACTGTAGGAATTTAACATAATCTTTCTCGGATATAGTAAAAGTCTTCTGGGACCCATGTGTTGAAGAACTTGATTCAACTTGGTCAGTGGTAACCGCATGAGCAAAACTTTCAGCCATAGCGAATAATACTTCAAACCAAAAAAAGGGTCAAAACTCGAGATGAACAGTGCTCGTGAACAGTCACGATGAATAGTTCTATCGTGAACAGTATTTTGAACAGTACGAATGAACAGTATCTGTGAACAGTATTTTTGAATAATCACGTGAACAGTCGCGATGAACAGTATCGCGTGAACAAGACTCTTGCTAGATGTTTAACCCTAATTCTAGGACTTTAGCTCTGATACCATGAGGACAGGTATCTTGGAGGGAAAATATCTAGTCATTGTATTATGAGTGACCAACTAGTATTTATAGGAGTAAAAATCTAAAAACTATTTACAAAAATATTCTTACTAATTTATTATTTACAAGAATACTTATATTCTCCTAACAAAAAGAAGACAGAGAGAATTTTAGCTACAATAATATAGGGGGAATTATAGTTGGGAAAGAAGAGATTAGATGGTTGACCAAACACTGGAAAGCGAATGCATTGGGATTCTACTCAGAAGACTGGTCCTTGCTGTCACCGTTTATGAACTGTGGTGGGCCAGGAATGACAAGTTGTTTCAAGCAAAGCAGCTGTCACCTTTTGGAATTATGCAAACTATTACTATGCGGTAAAATGTGTTGTATAGTCTTGGGGAAATTTTCCAAGTAATAGAGAAAATTGCAAACTTGCAATGGAGTGAGGCATATCTCCAAATCAGTTCTGCTAAGAGATGCTGACTTGGCTGTTAGTTTGTGTATAATGTATAGTTTTAGAGTATTGTATTCATGTAGTGAGGGCATACCCTGAAGTGTAATTTTCTTGGTCTTATCAATAAAAGTTTCACATTTAATAGAAAAAAGCCCTGAATTGCAAAACTTAATGATTTTAGTCGGACAAAAGATGGTGGCTGTTGTTTCGGTGCTTAAACACGTGGCTCATGTTTGCTTACTTCATCTTCCACGACCTCATGTGTCTATCACTATTCTGACAGTAACATATCTATGCTATGCATGTGAACATGTGTTCTTGCAAGGAAATACAACAACAACTTGATTTTGGGTCACACTATACAGTTTTGCAGCTTCAAATGTATTAGGTGGACTAACAAGGAAGCACATCACACTTTTCACTGGCTGTCCATTGCCACGGGATCGTTTCACTACCTCCGTTCAAGGTGCCCTTTCTTCTCCCCAGATTTGGTTTTTTCACCTTGTCGGACTTTCTTCTCCCCGATGGCAAGGAGAAAAGTATCTGTTTCTTGAAATAAAACACATAGCCCCTTGGATGAATTTTGGTTTACTACAAGTAGACGCATTTAATTTTACAACATAGATGAGCACAACTGGATTTCCTTAAGCATAAGTTATATTTTACAGGATCTTTCATGCTTCCTTTCAGGTATGCTGTGGATTTCACTTTCTATGTGAATTCCTGAGTTAATTTGTTAGGAAGTGTCAGGTATGAGCTTCTAGCAGGATTTTTTTTTTTTTTAATCAAAACAAAAGGACCTGGTCCCACTTCAGGCCCCAACCCTTATTTGGATTGTTGGTTATTCCCTATTTTTGTTACAAGGGTCGAACTCTGGTGGATGCCCTAACTAGGGACTACACCACCAGGTCGGCTACCTTGGAGGGACTTCTAGCAGGATTAAGTGGGGGTATATTCTGCTTCTTATTTCCTTATTCTTGATATTGCTCTTAGTGATATCACTAAACCAATAGTGAATTTTATGACCCTTGTGATAGATTGATTACCCATGGAATTTAATAGCATCCAAATTCATTTTCAGTCAGCTTTTTAATCCAGGAAAAGTCATTTGTTGACTAAATTTGTCTTGTGGAAGGAAAATTATTATGAATTGCAAGCTAGAGATGAAGGACTTTCAAGAAACATGTTAATACTTGACGAGTAGAGCTCAAATTAACTTCCTCATCAATTTGCATTGCGCTGTTAAGTAGTTCTGCAGAAAATTGTTCTCTTTCTGTGTGTTATTGATAAGGT